TTCCAAACCCACTACTTCTCAGAAAATGGGGGTAGCGCCAGGAATCGAACCCGGGCCCTCTGGATCTGTAGCCAGGAACTCTGACCACTAGACCAGAGAGGCGGTCTCTATATCATTCTACATGTATCAAAATATCTTTATTGTTAATACAATGATCAGCGATATTCCCAAATTGTAGCACTCGGTTGTACCTATATAATGTTTTTCATTTATTATTTATTTATTATAGCATTAATCAATTCTCGATTTCGTCATATGAAGTTTGGTGACAGCGCTCTTGCTATCCATTAAGGAAGTGCCCATTTCGAATTTCGGCTCAATAACCTACTGTCCCGACAGATTTTTTTTGGGGGGGGGGTGTTAATATCCTCCCGACAAATATTGCGACAGTGCATTAAATAGGTAACAAATGCTCTCAAATACATCATTAAAATCTCTGTATAATTTACGCAGCTTATACAAGAAAACCTAACCAACCTGAATTTGAAATAAATGTGTACATTTCAAAGTAACCTACAGCATAATGCCAATTAGGCTACTTACTCTGCTTTTTACTTCTATACATTCCGCCCATCATTCAGTACCGTGAAACGTAAAATATATTCATGCGAAATAAGTCTTTAATCCGAAACAGATACTCCGTTAATCAAATGTGGAACTATAACCTTCGACTGTTAACAAAAAGCGGTGTACTCGTATATCTATTGACAGATACAGCTGCATATAAACCTTGCAAAAGGCCGTGCCATATCTAAGGCGGTTAGTTGCTGGCTTCCCGCCGCGGCGGTACGGGTTCAACCCCAGGTTAAGTCATGTGGGATTTGTGGTAGACAAAGTGGCGCTGGGGTATGTTTTCACCGAGTACTTCGGTTTCCCCTGCCAATTCTCATTCCACCACTGCTCCACATTCATCTCTCATCCGGAGCTGGTACAATAGGCCAATTAATGGCCGCCGTACCAAGTGGACTGTCCCACCCCACCTCAAGAAGCTAAAAAACTATCGAAAGAGGTTAACTTAAGCAATAACTTTCTGCTCTGTATTAGAAGGGTGCCCGGTTTGAATCAGGGCTTGAGATCTTTCGTGATTTTCATCACTCTTTTCCATCAGAATGACACATCAGTGTCTTTAACAGGCCGCAACTACATTGTTCACATTTCCTGTCTTAACTGAAGTATTTTTTTTAATGCTAGTGGGGTGGGACTAAGTCCCTTGTACTGCGGCCATTTCTAGTCTATTGTACCAGCCCCAGATGATAGGTGAGGGTGATTGTGGAGCAATTGGTGGAATGAAGACTGGCAGGGGAAACCGAAGTACTCGGAGCAAACCTGCCCCAGCGCCTCTTTGTCCACCACAAATCCCACTTGACCATACCCGGAATCGAACCCGGGCCGCCGCGGTAGGAAGCCAGCGACTAACCGCTTGAGCTATGGCGCGGCCCTCAACTAAAGTATATATTGTACCAGGAATCTTCCTGGGGATACAGGGCGGCCAGTGCGTAATGCTGACAATCTCACCGCCATCTGTGAGTCAACTGTCTAGAATATGTGGGAGCCTCGGCATCTCACTACCCTATGGGCCTTCATGGCCTGTTACAGGGGTAGTTTTACCTTTTTCTTTTTATTACTTACTTATCTATCAATGACGCCCTATCAACTTCAAAATTACAATATTTGCCTTCATTTAACGATTCTGTTTCAACTGCAGAGATTATACAATGTCGAATGATATGAGAAGATCATGAAGGACGCAATGATAATCTGCTTAAGGATACTAATGCGGCATTTGAGTGGAGAGTCTACCGAAACCACGAGAATCTGTCCAGCGAGCCTGGTCGATCACAAATCATACAAGAGAGAAACACGAAATATTTCAGTCAAGATAGCAGACAGGGATTCGAACCGAGCACCTCCGGAACAAGTTTAGAACGCTGCAGCTAACTCCCCTCCCACCTCCCTCGTCATCGTTCTTGTAAAATCAGCTTAACTGATTAAACTGGATTCCATCGTTTTCTTTTAAAAAAAAAATTACAACCTCAAAATCGTTAATAATTCATGTATTAAAATTTTTCAATTTATTGCGCTAAGCATTAGTGATAAATCTGGAAAACTTATTAAGATTAATTTCACAACGAAATAGTGAACTCTTAAAGTAAAGTAAAAAGTAAAGGTATCCTGTAACAGGCCGTGGAGGCCCATAGGGTTGTGAGAAGTTGAGGTTCCCACATTATCTAAACAATCGGCTCATACATGGCGGCAAGGTTGTCAGTCCTACGCGCCGGCCGCCCTTTACCCCTAAGAATATTCCAAGAATATGCCTGGTACTCATTTCTGTTAGAGGCTAAGTCGACCCGAGGGCCATAGTGCGGCTGGAAGGATTAGGGCAATTGAAAGAAATCCAATGACCTCATTGGGACTTGAACCCGGGACCTTCCGGCTTGTAGCATAGTGAGTGAACTCTTACAAGCAACAAAACACAAGGTTCTCAGTTTTAAACTGAATTAGTTCTGCCTTTGGCGAGTAGTGTTTCCCATAATTTTGCATGACCCGTAATCTGTGTAGGCTATTTTATAGCATTACTAGTGAAAAAGGCGTAAGTAACTGATAAGTATTTTAATAAATGACTCTTTTCAGAAGTTCCAAAAATTCCGTTTCTAAACGTAGCTCCAAAAAAAAATGCAAGTCATACTCTAAACAACTTGAAATAGAATTACACTGAGGCATTGCCAAATTTAACCAAATAAAAATAAGGGCAAAAAAAAATTGATTATATGCCTACTGAACACAGTGTCTGTTTACGCTCATTTTAAAATTCCAGTCTTCATTTCGGCATACAATTCGGGCTTCTTTTGTTTTGTAACCCGGGCCACATTTATGGCAGAATGACCGGGCCGTTCGCCTCGGGGCCTCCACAAGACAGAAATAAAATCCACAGATTTTAATGAGACATTTTCTTCTCTAAAATCATGAAAAGTTAGTTTGTATGTTCAGTTATTATAACAAATAAAAACGAAAATCTACCAGTCTGAATGACTTCGCGTTCTAGCAAGTCACCGCCGTGAAAACCTATAATTTCAAGTACAAATAAACAACTACCAGCTTTTTGGTGGCTTACTGCCTGTAACAGTCAATTTTTAAACAGATGTTTTATATCAAGTAGATCTACTACATTAGAAATAGCTCAGATATTTTTTCCGATCAGTGTCACAAACATGTTTCTTAATATTTGGCAGGTTGTCACTTTCTTAAGATGCCTTTCAACAGTTGATATGTACGAAAGATTCTAATTCGACGAAGCTAACTGTTGACGTAATTCATAAAAAGTAAACAATTTTTATGGGTATGCTTCTCACACTGCTTTCTTGCCATCCATTCGAAAGTTTATGGCTACAATTATTAGTTGTAGGAGTGCGGAAATACGACGTTCCTTGGCGCTGTGATGTGAAATGGACCCATTGCGCATTTCCCTTGTCATAGGTAGCAAGTATGGAGGACTGGTGAAATGCTATGTGGTAGAAAAGAATCGAAAGTCTCAAACAAAACCCTGTCTCGAATCCATTATTTTCCCCACAAAAGCCCCATACCGACTGAACTGGGACTGAACTCTGGCCTCCGTGGTTATAAGCCAGTGACCAACAGCCTTGACACCGCTACACAGTATTACTATTCCTAATAAGTTCCGTCTGGTATGGAATTATAAATGCTCTCAGACAAAATGACTAGAAACTATAACGAATACCATTGCATCTTATATAAATACCAATCGTGGAGATTCTGTTCCAATACAGAGTTGCTAAGGTTCTCTGAAGTTAACTGTATTGAATTAATACTACTTGCAACTAAAACACAGGTCTTCTACCATGTACGAAACATTTGCACCAACTAGCATGGCGGGAGGAATCCCTCACCCCACCAAAGATGTCACAGTCGGATAAATACCGGACAGGAACGGATGATTTATGTATGACATTAGCAAAGTGGCTGTGCTCATAATTCCACGAAGACTACCCATGACTGCTTACGGTTCTGCTCTACGAGTTGCCGATACCGGACTCGTAGAATGCTATTACATCTCTTTAATAGATGGCAGAAGTGACACAAGTGGAAGAGGTGGGGAAAGGGTAATACAGTGCACTTGCACTGAACTTCAGCTCTCTAAATTTGACTGAAAAATGTCATACTTCGTAACCATATGTGTCTATACTTAATCTTCAAGAAGGGGCCGCACCATAGCTCAAGCGGTTAGTCGCTGGCTTTCCACCGCGGCGGCCCGGGTTCGATCCCGGTTCTGGTCAAGTGGGATTTGTGGTGGACAAATTGGCGCTGGGGCAGGTTTTCTCAGAGTACTTCGGTTTCCCTCGCCAATCTTCCTTCCACCAATTGCTCCACAATCACCCTCATCTATCATCTGGGGCTGGTACAATAGGCCAGACGTGGCTGCAGTACAAGGGACTTAGTCCCACCCCACTAGCAATAATAAAAAAATAAAAAATTTATAGTCTTCAGTAATTTTTTGCCCATGATACACTGGCTTTAAACCTGTAAATTCTGAATGTGATTGAAAATTACACTCCTATTGAAAGGGTCACTAAGGCACAAAATATACATATTCAAAGGCAAGTGCTGGTATACAAAATCTCTTTTAAAAACCGGCCATAATTTTGATTATTTTTTCTTCTGCAAAAAGAATTTTCCTAATGGAGTCAATATATTTCTCTGTGCAGAATGTTATGTTGCAACAGTTTTCACGATGGACACAGTTCACGATTTATTTTTTACCTGCAATATAATTTGTCACACTTCCCTTTCCTTTCACATGACATAATTAATTAGATTTATTACCAGAAATTCCCCATCTCCTAATGAACTCAAAGTTTCATTGCTGCCAGGAGCCTGCAATGAAGCTTCTAAGTCATGTAATTATAAATTCATCTTGCATCCATGTGCCCTCCAGACTTATGCGTAGTAACCTATTTCAAACATCTGCATGTGTCTGAGTGGCATAAAAACATTGTAGCAGTTCAGCCAAGTTCCTCAGTTGCTCTGAATTAACAGTTCCTACCACAACGTGCTTCTGGATTTGCTGTGAGTATCTTATGGTGAATGCTATAAAAAGAGATCTTTATGCTTATAAGAAATGCTGGGAAGAGTTCATAAGGCACATTTTCCTTCAGATTCGTCCATGCATATCATGAAGCTAGAAGAAATATAAATAAAAAAATATTACGGTGCAGTGAGCAATTTACGTGCATAATTTTCTTTACTAGAGATTCCATTTATGTAGAATTTAACATTTTATAGGGCAGTGGTAGTTATTTGTACCACTTACTTTAAAGTTAAATAACGTTACATTTCAGCCATGGCAGAGTTTACTCTTCAGGTTAGTTACATTCTCAGAAACACCATGCCATAGCTCAAGCAGTTAGTCGCTGGCTTCCCATCGTGGTGGCCCGGGTCCAATCCTGGGTCTGGTCAAGTGGGATTTGTGGTGGACAAAGTGGCGCTGGGGCAGGTTTTCTGAGAGTACTTCGGTTCCCCTGCCAATTTTCATTCCACCAAACTCTCCATCATCATAATCACCTGGGGCAGACTACAATAGGCCAATCAGTGGCGGTCGTGCCAAGTGGACTCAGTTGGACTCCACCCCCCCCTAAGTAAATTTACATTCTCAGAACAGTGCTTATTTCCTTAGACATCATTAACCAACTGAGCTTTGCAATGTAAATTCCAGTATTTTCTTGCAGGACCGAACAGGCTTTTGAAATAATATTCAGTTGAGCTTGGCTTTACAAGGTGTTAAAATAGTCCTATATATTATCAAATTTTTTACCATCTTAATGTTTCTAATTGTTCACATTCAAAAATATTTAATGCTGAGTTTTTAGGTACATCTGTCATCTCTCACTGTATGTGACATTCCAAATTCCCAACTCCAATGTGCCAGAAGTTATCACCATCAAGCAAAAGAAAGCTAAACAAGTGTTTTGTGTGTCCGCCATATTGTTTTACATTTCACAAACAAAAAATGCCATAACAAAGTCATGACATGTGTGTTCCCATACAGCAAAAAATTAAATTTGCTTTTTTTTTTCAGGAAGCATCTGTCATTATTCAAGATGTCTCACTTTCTGGTGACATGGTTCATGTTATGGTGTATCATCTTAGCAAGGGGGCAGTGCCCCTCCCATCAACAAGCAGCCATGAAGTTGACTATCACAAGTGAACGCAACAGTACCGGATACTGGATAGCTAGGGTCACAGAAAATTCCAGTTTTGTATATGATAGACAGTACACTGTTTTCCATTATAAACAACAAATTGACTGAGCCCAGAAAAGGAGAGTACCCTTCATCAAATTGCTCTTTTTTATTCTTTCATCTTCATCTTATCAATCTCCTCCTATTTCTTCCCTTTGTTCTTGTCACTTCTACTAATTATTTTCTTTTATCTGTAAACTTCTCTTCCCTCCTCTCCTCACTCTTCTGCATTTTCTCCTCCTTTACCTTCTTACTCTTCTGTACTCCTTTTCGTCCTTCTCCTCTTCCTTTCTTTTTGTTCTGTATTGTATATGGCTGGCCCAGTTTCAGCTGCAAGTTTGCAAGTTCTTACAGCAGAGCGAAATGTTTAATCTTCTGTGAGGTTACTTGAAGCTGGTCCTTATCATTACTTTACATTACTTCATAAATGGTTTCATAAATATAACATAAAAACATAAGTTGGTATACAGTTGTAGTTTACTGTCTTCTGGAATGTAATACTTGGCTTACTCTTTGACCCTGAAGATGGTTGCAGTACATTCCTCCTAAACATCGTTTTACATCTACTGAATTTCAAGGTACTACATCCCAGAATATTGTACTCTTCAGAGTCACTGCTGTTAGAACCTAAAATTCAACCTATAAGAAAATCAGCAGATTCTTACTGTAGCGTTCCACGTTACAATACCAGGTATTCCAGTAAGTGGGTGCTAACATTTCAGGAACATACTGCCTCCTCCATCTTCCTGATCCCTGAAGATGGATGCAATATGTTGCTCCAGAATACTGGTACCCACTTACCAGGCTACCCAGTACCACAGCCCAAAGGATGAAAATGTGAATCCTCACAGCTGTGAAAACCTCAAAACTTATGTCAGTAGGTGACAATAATTCTATTGAAAGTTGTCCAATATAGTTCTTCCAAAATTAGGTATCACTGGACCATGGAGCTCATGAGCACGAAGTAGGTCCCTGGGAAGTGGATGTGGACCACTCATCAGTAAAGTGCAATGATGTGGAATCAGTACACCTAGTCACAACAATAACAGGTAACCCACAAATGAGAGATTGGAATTCCATCATTTTTGGCAAGTTGTAAAACTGATGATATTGTAGTTAACAATCAGAACTCTTGATAATTATTGTCCTTACATCTATTCTTAAGGACCTAAAAATAAGGCAACCCCCGTTTTCTAAGAAACAATACTTTGAAAAGGAACTTTACCCTATATTCCAGTTAAAGTAGTACTCATACTTTTGCAGCACCTCCACAACATTTACATCTGAACTACAAGCTGTTACCTGGCTTGGGCTACTATAGGTTCCATGACATTCCTGCCTCTTGGTACAAGGCTGCAGTAACATGTAGAAAGGAAAATGGCCATCTCCTGGTATTGAATTCTCCAAAGGAATTTGTAGAACTGAAGAAGATATGGGATGCAAGTGGAGTGAAAGGAGACTACCTTCATGTTGGAATTAATGACTTTGATAAGGAAGCACAATTTGTCACTGTGCTGGGTAAGAAAAATTCTCAAAATGACCTAACACACAGCAGGCAGCTGTTAATACACACAACTTGAAAAATTAATATTATATTTAATAGCAAGCAGAGGACCAATAATTCTTCACAGAATAACAATAGGCATTGCAGTTAAATAATTTTATATGTAAGTTGTAGAAAAAGATGAAAACAAAATATATCCTTATGTTTAATGTGAAACCATAAGGCATTTGAATGATGCAAAGATACAATTTGTATTCATAACTTCGGAGAAAGCTGCAGGAAGAACATCACAGCCTAAACCACTTTCTCACAAATGAGGGGATCTTGGCAGAATGATGACAGTATAACCATTGCATCTAGTCTGGAGGAAATGCTACTACCAAATTCAAGAAAATGATTAGTTACAGTAAAACCACTGCATAATTCAGGAAACTGAGTTATGGTCATTATAACTGGCTTATGTATCCACAGGGCACAGAGTTCTCATATGTAAATGAGCAGGTATTTTTAGCTTTATTGTCAGTCAAGCTTAGCTTTTGAATAAATTAATATATTGTTTATATTACTTGAATTTTGTAAGCATGTTTAAGTTTTGAAAAACTATGTGCCAAATTTACATACACATCTTGATTTCAAAGTAACAGATATTAGTTCAGAAAATTCAGATAACGATTTCAACCATTCTAAGATGTGTAATGAATTCCCATGTCTGTTTTTAGGTGATTTAGTCAATTCTACAGGCTATGCTCAGTGGGGACCAAATGAACCAAACAGTGGTGATACAGCTAACTGTGGCGCTGTAAAGCGTACAGGAGATTTATATGATTCACACTGCAAAAACCTCTTCCCATTCTTCTGTGAGCAGAGTTTATCTTAATCATTGCACTGCTAACATTTGCAAAAGACTGACTGTTCTGCTTAAACAGAAATTTGCATTATAATTCACTGGTACTATGGTAACATCTATTACTGCAGATGATTCTGTAGGTAAAATATCTGCCTAGGACTTCATTCTTAAGGTATTTAAGGACACAGATTTTCTTATGTATGTTATATAACATCACATGAGGTGGGACAGTGAACATGAAGAGAAAATAAGAGTCTGGAAGGAAGAATTTCTGGTCTATTTAAAGTTATAATTCTGGTATTTTCTTTAAGTAAAGGTAAAGATGTAAAGTTGCCTCCATGCTTATTAATAAAGCACCAAGCCATGAGCACATATGGGGGAGTACAGATATAGCTCTTTGTATTTTTAAACTTTGCACTAGAAGGCGCTGAATGGTCAGCTTCAGACCCCAGTCACGTCACTTGTTTGATAGGATTGTGGTTGGGCCCCAGGTATAGTCAGGATGCTGCAAAGAGAGAAAAATTGATGGCTCTACGAGTAATTGAACCCTGATTCTCTGGCTGTTCAGCTGGCAATCTAGTTTCTATACTGACTGGGTTATCGTGTCTCCTGTATACCAGGAAAGACTGCTGATAACAAATGAAAATCTCAGCCAGAATACCCAGTAACCAAACCAAAATTCAAATCATTTAAATCCCAAATACAACTCTATAGCATCACCATACACCAACAAACTCAAATGGCATGAAGTATACTCAGGGTTGGTAATCTGAGAACTAACATAAATTTTTATGATACCACAGCACAGACAAACAATCACTGGCTTCTCACCATAGAAGAACAGGTTCAGTTACAAGGTAGTCCATGTAGGATTTGTGGTGGAAATAATGATAGTGTGTCAGGTTTCTCTCCAAGCTGTCTGGTTTCCCCTGCCAATTATCATCCCAAAAATTCTCCATACTCAGCTGGCATATGGGGCTGGAACAATATACCCATTTGAGACTGCAAGACCAAAAGACTCATTCTCACCCCACTCATAAAATTATATATATATATTAATCTTCCTTGCAAAATATGGTGGCGTGGCTGTTAACACTTCTGCTAAAGAGTCCAGATGTACATGATGCAATTCTCACTTGAAAGATCAACTGTTTTGACTTCACAAAGTTGTTTCACTCGTGCAATTCAAGAAAATCAGAAGATAACTTAAAAATAAACTACTTCCTGCCTAATCAACTATTAGCTACATTATCTATAGGTATTTAAATGGACATTGCTCCATATGCATAGGTACTTCTCAATTAAGCTTTCACATCCCTCCTGTTATTCCTGCAGTGTTACTGGCACTATCCACACTCTGTGTTTTGATGCTACACGTTAAACAGAGAACTGAGAATGCTCCATATTATACATTGTGTTATTTTACAACTGTAAAGTGATTACGAGATTTTCAGGATCAGTTGATAACTCATTATCAAAAGTGAAGAAATAATTTTGAATTATCCATGTCTCCCTATTATCATTTCTTCCTCTCCCATCAGTTGGCATGGATTAATGGAGATTAATTAAGTACACTGTAGAACTGATTATGCTTGCTGAGATTGTATGAAAAGAATGTGCAGGGATATAAGCAATTGATTTTAGTATTACTGAAATTGTAAGAAGTGTGTGATTTTTATATAAAGTGTATGACATGTGTATACCTTTGTGTTACTTATATTGCTCCATATTGCATTTACAATTCATAGTTTTATAATTGCTGCTTTCACATGTATGTATGATATATTACAACAATACTATTACCTGTATGATTATAATAAAGTTCTGTTTACATTTATGTGTATGTATTTAATCCTTTCATTACCAGTCCCAAATGTACTTACTGCCTGCCTAAGTAGCTTGCCTACCTCATTATCACCCAAATATAGCATAGTTCTTTTCAGAGTATTTGGTTTTGTTCTTCACACTGACCACAAGTAGGTTCATATTATTTTACAAATATTGAATCAAGAAATGTTTGCATTAACATATTGGAGAAATTACTATCAATTTCTCTTGTTATTTGCAATTAATTTTCACTAAAAAAGTTTCAAGCCATGTGTATACTACCAGTCCTGTTCAATTACCTCCCCCCACCCCACCCTCTCTCTCTCTCTCTCACACACACACACACACACACACATATACAAAGAAATTCATGATTTTTTGCAGAGATTCTCTGACTTACATGATGGTTGCAATCCCAAGAGTGGCTGTATGACACAACTGTTCAAAATTTTTGCTCAATTTCTTTACCCCTTTGCTTTCACTGCCTTTAACTTTCATTGAAACTATATAATTTAGTCACCTTTAATTCCTTTCATTTTACCAACTTACAAGTTTGAGGAGTGACCTTTCTACACTGAAAATGGGCACAGAATGTTCCTCCAAATCACTGATCCCCTTCCATCAAACTACATGGTGTAATGTCATAGAAGACAGCAAATTTCTGTACTGTGTTGTCACTACCATCTTAACCTTCATTATTTCATTTCCTCATTTCATACATAATGAACATTTTAGTAAACCTGAACCATTTGTTTAAAATTAATTGTGTTTCATCCCTTTAATTTTAATGCATCAGGCCTAATGGTCTATTCTCACTGAGAATTAATTCTGAAACAATGAACTCTTCAGCATTCAGGACTTCTTCAACAGGGAATTGGTCCATCACCTGCCACCTACATATGTATCACAACAGGACACAGTAAAACATTGACATAGCTGCACATCGCAAAGAGGTTTCAAACACACAGACACATCTTAACAGTACACAGTCACTGTAATCATCAATTATGTTGCATTATAATAAATAAATACATATGTGGGTAGGATATAACCCTCCACTTCTGTCATTTATTTGTGTCTTACCTCAGGTCATCCTATCTGTAATTGCATACCTTGAATTTATATTGTAATTAATTAACATAGCAGCCATATCCCCAAGATCATTTTTGAGATGAGGAAGCAAATTATCACTTGGTAGCACCTGGCTAACACAATATTTAACTGTTGTCATGGCAGTTACAATGGTAGATGAAGTACTCATATCTTTCATTCACATCTGTGTAATTAAATGATTATTTATGCTGTGTTAGGAACAGTGCACTGGTTAGAATAATGAAGGGCATCCCAGCAGTGGTCTTGCCTACAACTGCTTTGCTAATTCATTACAATATAAAATAGAATTTCCTTTCTCAAAGTTTCACCTAACAAAGAAGTTTCAATGAATTTATCCTGTGGTAAAATAAAACATTAGTCATATATGTTCTGGAAATATTTCAATTCTAGCAGCATACTCAAAAGAAGTAAGATTGGAAACATCTCAAAATTTAATACTAAAATTGATAAAGTTCACAAATTTTGTCATATAACATATAAAATATTTTGCAAGGAAAGAAATCTGAGTTTGGAGGACTTTGTCAGTTCTCTGCATCTTCATTAGCAGGAGGATTAAAGTAAAAGTATTTATGAGATTAAGAATAACAAAAGGAGTCAGGTAGGATAATGGACAAGGAATGAACTACAGGGTAATTTGAAAGATATATCTAAATAAAATTATAGTGCATACAATATGATTACCTAATAAATTGTACTATATACAAAATATCTACACTAAATAATATCTGTTAATAATCACATTTGGCACAACAGCTTTTCAAATAATAAAGTTATTATTTTTATACACTTGTACTAACGATCAAAGAATTACAGTTCTGGAAGATCATTGTTGATATGGTGTGACTTCATGATGATACTCATGTTCGGTATCTGTCTACCAAATTACATGATATTACAGTCCAGAAGACCATAACCTTAATTTGAACCACTATAGGAACCTCATATCTAACATCGAAATTATAGATGCTTGGAAGCTCCTTTTGTAGAACAGACCTATTGCTCTGTAAGAAAAATGTTCTATAATTACAGATCCTTATATACATGGAACAATTCTTCGCGTCTCATTTAATTGTGTAATTACAGATCTAGAACAAACAATACCTGAACTTCAGACATAGAGAGTGTTAGAGTGCAGTGATTAGTACAGTCCTACTGTGTACATGGAGAGAGACCAAATGTTTTGTATTTGGACCAACTATCCTGACTTAGATTTATTTATGGTTTTTCTCAGTTCCCCCAGACAAATACCAGGATAGTGCTTCAAATTGGGCAACCAAATCTTTTCCTGTTCATTATTCACTAATCTTTATAACTTTCAATACTCTACAATCTGAGGTACTTGAAACATCATTAAATAAACCACAAATAAAATAAAATTATGTGGAAAATACGTATTCATGCCTTCATCAAATATCGCACCTATGCTTTTCTAAGCCACGCTAAATGGGAAAATAACTCAGAATGATGAATTCCCAAGAATGTGGATATACTGGCCATGATACAGTTTGAGGTAATATTCCAGCTTTCATCTAGAGGGGCTGAGGAAAACCACAAAATCTCTTACTCAGGATAGTTGGCCTGTGGGCCATGAACTGAGCGTGGCATCTCCCATACTAACCATGAAACAATTATTGCTATTAATATAGCAAGACCATTTGGAATTCAAGTGAAACAGTGGTAATGATATAATGAATTTCTAAATAGCACCACCATTATATAAACTTACGAATTATGCGTCAACCCAATTTCAAGGGAAAATCATCTGACTTTTCAACCTAAACTGGTGCTTGCAGAAAGCTGACTATAGAAATATAACTCATATTCAAGTCTATGCATTAATCATTAAAGTTATGTGATAAATTTGTCTAAACCCTTACCTATCATTAGCCATTACAAGGCAGCAGCTCGCATGGTATGACCTCCAGACGTGAACCACATGGAAGGCCACCACCACTGTTTGAAACAAGCTCACTCCTTGTTCTTTGCCGAACAGCATTCATGCCACATGTAAGTGAACAAGGTGACCAAGATGTCCATTCTGACAAAATGCAGTCAACAGGGTCAACTGAAAGAAGAGTTAAATTTATTTTGGCATTCTTTTGCTTCTTCTGCTTTAGAAATTTAAAATTCTATGGGCCTTGTTTAATTTTTATATTAGTATTACAAAATATTGTCGCATGTTTGCTAGGCAATGCGACAAGAGATTGCCAGTTCTGCTGTGACCTGTAAGAAACACCATATGAGGTTGCCAACATTTGTATCGTAACTATGATGAGTTTAAAAGGACTGACACAGTGTTCTGGTTAAAAGATTTCTGAGATGCAGAAGTCAAACAGGAAGTTGAAGAACTTATGATGTGAGATTTGAGGTACTCATTGCAGTGACTATGAAGATTTCTGTCACCTGGGATGTGGTTGTGTAGTCTAGTAAATGTTTACCAACATTTTGAAGGAATGAGCTGCCTCCACCTTCAAGGTACCTTTTCTGTTCAGACGATGGAGCAGCATGTTGATAACTGGTAAACACCTACCAGTCTACACAGCATCATATCCAAAGAGGCAGAAATGTTAGGACTTATAATGTTTTATTTCCTTAAAATGCTCCAATCTCCATGTTCAGCTAACAGTAACTCAAAATAAATGTTTATAATATTCAGTTATTCATTTGTGTCCATAATTACCACTCTTACTGAGTCTAAAATTGATAAATTTTGCAGATAGAATCTAAAATTTTGCAGTGACTCTGCATTAACACATAAAACGTATTGTTAATCAACAACTGTAAGTATGCTTTTCTCCATTCTCGAAGAAAAGTTTCATATGTCTGGCTTCAATATTCCATTAGTTAGCACCATAAAAACAAAATCTAAAAAAAAAAAGTTACAAGTTCACTGATTTCTTGTCTTGCATTATGGAAGCAAAACAAAACAAAATCCAAGAAAATATATGTATATTTTACCACACAACATTTCAGGATGCTACATGAAGTGTTGAGGGTGTTACTCCCGTCTCAAAATTTTGCATGACCCTATGTTCCTATTACTCATGACAAGGAATTAAAAAGTACAAAGGTGAGATGGCTCTAATGATAGCAGGTTCATAATTTATAAATTAGTTCAAAATTTGTTAGGATGAGACAGATCACCATATGACAAGACCATAAGCCTGTCTATCTACATAAAATAAGAAAAGTATGCTAAAAAGACACAGGAAGCTGTAGAAAAAATTCAAATAAAATACAGATATCTACTGACTTATGATTAATGCCATGAGTAGTAACATAACTACAATTTCTTCGACCCCTTTGGCTTCACTGTCTTTAATTTGCATTGAGAAATATGTTGTTCAATTAATTAATTATTAATACCATTCGCTTGAAGAACCCTATTTTTTTCTTTGGACATATATAACTTAATAATATTTTAATCTTCACTAATTAATTAAGCATAGCAGCACAATGACATGTGGGGAGTGGAAGTATAACTGTACACATTTTTAACCTCAACACTAAATAAGAGAAAGTGGTCAATTTCATGCCCAAACTGCTTTACTTTTGGTACCCACTTGATAGGACGTTCGGTGAACCTCACATCCAGTCTGGATATAGGCACAAAGAAAAACCCCTGTGCCTGCCAGGAACTGAACCTCCATTCCCTGATTGTCCAAAATCTAACTTAATAACTACACTGATTGAAATGAAAACACTTCATATGAAGCAAAATTAAACTAAGTCAAAATCACATAAGTCAACAGATACCTGCAGGTACAGAGAGAATCTATCATGTATATCTATGCCATAAAGAAGAATCTTTCAAAGTATATATGTTATATCTATTCATTCTTTGAATCACTGCTGGAAATTATGTTTCTATTCCTTGAATGAACACAAGAAATTATCTTGCAAAATTGCAAATTACAGTATCTTTGTTAATTAATAAAATTTCAAGTTTCAGGGACATTTTATGACATATAAAACCAAAATATCAGTGCAAATTGCATGCTAAGGATTAAATTTAGACAAGTTAGAATGAACAAGGTGGAAGAAAAGACTTTGACAGTTCTGTAAACAAAAATGTCAAATATTAAACATGACAGGTTTACTGTACATAGTATACACATATATAGTACCTCTCTGAACTGGGTTAGCATCTCCCCATGTTGGATTGTCATCAATTTGACTTTCCAAATCTGTAAATAGCAAAATTTCATGATAAATTTTCAATTTATGTAACAAATTTTAAAATTTGTAACTTTTTTACCATCAAATACTCTCAGTCCTATTCTTAATTTCATGACGAATATAATTTTGACTTGTTATTCCCAGGTACTAGAACCTTACTACATTTCCAAAGAATTTATTAGTTTCCCTTATATTACGATTTTTTTATGCACCGTGGTAATGAGCATAAATTTCANGAGACTCCCATATTTATTATGCAATCTGAGTTAATACATTTAGCATAATGATGTGAAAAGGAAAGAAAAAAAGAACGTGTAGAATACCGCTCATTAGCGGTGCTCCTTGTGCAGTAGATAAAGTCTGGTATGATTTGTGGGAGAATACTTACAAACTAGGGACTTAAGATCTAAATAATAATACTACATTATACAAGAAATCTGTTTGGGAGATATTACGATTTTTTTTATGCACCGTGGTAATGAGCATATATTTCATTTTCATACACTTATTGGTAAATGAACCTCTTTTATAATGCCTAACAGAATTGCAGCATTCATTTAATGGCATACATGTTGTTACCTACAACATCATCAAAAATAAATTATGTATAGTGTTATTGTTAAGTACCGCAATTCCTTTTGCACTTCTTTTTCCGTGTCAATTTTTTTGGACAAGGTTTGCCACCATTTCTTGCATGAACCTAAAACACACAAGCAATTGAAATATCAATTTGTGAGTAAAGTATAGTAAGGATTAATTTATCAATATTATTCTTCTATTTTTAAAATCAATAACAGAATATTAATATTATTCTGTTATTCACGAATACTGTAATCTTAATATCGAAAGAAATTACCCTGATTGCCCTAATCTTCGTCTTGAATCCTCGGCCACAGCTAACACTGCAAGCAGACCACGAAGACCAGCGCGTGACTTCACAGTCCACAGCCATTAAATCAGTTCGATGATTTACAAGATGTGGATGACTGCTCATGTTGGGACTGAATAGAAAATTTTCAGCTTGAAAAGCGGGAGACACGGTAGTTATTGCAGATGCATCCTCCTCTCCATCCTCTTCTGAAACAGTAATAGCACGTCCAGCACACACTCCATGGATTACATCAACTTTCTAAACATGTTCTTTGCACATTTGATTTGAGGTCTACATGGTGATGACTCTGACATGTGCTGGCTACTTGCTTGGTTTACTCTCTGACCTTGAAAATGTAAGCACCAAGTCCCTCTGAAGTGTTTGTAAACTTTTAACTTATTGGCATGGAGTACTGCGTTCTGAACGTGCTTTGTGACTCCATCTCATGAATAGTACTTTAACCACATGAATTCCACTTGTATATGATGATTTAACTTAAAAGGGATCAGATTGGATCAAATCAAATCTAACTAAATTGAAATGAATTTAAGTCAAATCATCAGGTCAAAACCAAATGAATATCCAAACAAATGAGTTCACAAAATTGCAAAAAAACATATTTGGAATAGAGTGGAGATGTGTACTGTACCATCTGGCCATGAGTTAAGGATCCCCCATATCAGTGTTCAGACCTATGTGCCTTGAAATGTTACTGGCTATATTCTTATGCCTAAAGAGTTTATAATTATTTATTGCAATGAAGAACACAGAATGCAGTATCAAATAAATGTATGAAGCATAAAATAATATAGCATAATTATAATACCACAATTCTGATCCAGTCTTCCACGTCCATGAAGGCGATATGAAATTACTCCAGACAAGGAGACACCATAATGTTGAAGATGCGCTGTTCTGTTTGCCTTAAGATCCTCTTGACGTGTAAGCATGCATAGACATGTAATGCAATAAGTCAAAAGTACCATCAAACCCAAACCTTTTTGATTACGGATTTGGGAATATATTCATATCTTGTTTTGTTCGTTTAGTTGTCTGAGATGCAGAACCCAATGATCAAGACTAGCTCTGTCTAACGGGCTCAACTGAGTATGATCTTTTCAATTGTTACACCTGATAGCGTAAGCAGATCCGGCTTCCAAAATGTCGTATAATATAAATATATCGAAGACAATGCAATTAGTTTTAATTATTTCGTTATCTGTGTGTTTGTTTAAATTTTTGTAAGACGACCTTCATGTCCAGTTGTTTGGACTTGTGAAATGAAATGTATGTATGTAAGTATGTATGTATGTATGTATGTATATATGTATGTATGTAATGGACAATGTCAAGCATAATAATCTTATAATGCAGAAGTTACTACCAAACATCACTGTTGCTTGCTTCATATTCTGGATGTCCCAGGTTCATTTCTGGGCCTGAATACTGACTGTTCTGACTGAGAATTTCATGGTTTTCTCTCACCTTCCAGGCAAATGCCAAGATAGTAAGTCAAAATTTGGATATTGTGGCTTCCTTCCATATCCATTTCAATATTATCCTATACTCATCCCATTACTGGACAATATAGAATAAATTAAAGTGTTACTAGATATAAGGACTCATTTGCATGTTCCCATGGGCATATAATCTGGACCCCTTTACTATACATACCTTTATACTTCTGGCATACATTCTCACATTCCTTCTGAGTTAGAAAATTGTTTCTGTTACCACGGCAACCTGAGTATAAAAACTCCAGGCAAACTTCTGCTTGTGAATCAAAGTACCAGCGACTGTTATTTCCAGTACATGGACCCTCATCTTTTGGCATTTGACATATTTCTGCAAACAATCAAAATCATTTAGTAATGAACATTCTACCTATCTGAATATCTCTATTCCTGTTGCTACCACTTAGAGCATAGGGCACCCATGAAATGCTTCATTTCACATCAGTTTCTTAATCTTAGACAGTCAGTAGGACACCCTGGATGGGGCATCAGCCCATTGCAAGGCCGCTACCTACACAGAACAACACAAACACAGAATAAACGAGAACATCCATGCCTTGAGTGGGATTCAAAACCATGATTCCAATGTATGAGCAGGCAAAGACATTTCATGCCTGAGATCACGCAGCCAATGTAATCAGCTTAATGACCATTAAATACAACTTATTAAATGTTATTAATAAACTGAAATCCACTTATTTTTCTGATATATGTTAAACATTAATGGTTCATCTTTATGGGCCTCCCTCAAATAAAAAGAAAAAATATGATAACATTATTACAAAAATATTACATAAGTTATAATTAAAATACAAATTCTAAATTTGTAATATAAACAAAATTTTCCCAATGCTACATGTTATATCATTATATTTTACACCTCATATATAGTGTAGCATAATATCATTTATATTGCTGTCATATGTAAATCCTTTTCAAAAATATTTGCTATCATTAACACTCCCTTTCAGAAGAACAATGTTATATTTAATTGGCTTTATGTTTAAATTATATTATCACATTCTCTTTAAGAATTTTGGTCAAATGTCCTTTATTGAGGAAATCATTTTAACGTGTGCATACAGAAGATTTCCCGTGTAAATTTTTCATTTTCACGAAAGAAATTGTGATGTTTCGAACATGCTGGAGAAATAGATGCATTAATAATAATAATAATAATAATAATAATAATAATAATAATAATAATAATACTTAATAATCTTTTTTTCTGACAGTTCTAGTAAATTGCTTTAGTGTGTAATATAAGGCTATGGACTTCAATTGTAAGAATATTTAAATCACTTTAATGAATATTTAAAATAGTATATCAAGGGAACAATATGAAAAATAATGAGAAACTGGGCTACAGCAATTGCTGATAACATAAAAAATATTGAGTAATTTATGGGCATTGTCAACAAAGAATAATGTATTCTCGAGCTTCAGGTGTAAGAGATGATATTCAGATATGAGATCATAGAGTATATATGAATATATTGAACAAGGAGTCACAGAGAGATAGCAACAGGCAGTTTATATACTAGAAACTTGGATGTGGGACTAACAACCCCTGACTGTAGAAACTAACCTCTTGCCATAGATGGAGTAATCTCACAAGAAGGAATCTCTCCATCACATTCAACTTCGTCTATAATTTGTGCATCTGCACAATCCTCCGTACTGATAGGACCATTATAACCTTCTTCCATATGTTCATACATCGCCCTTGTTTCCTCATTGTATGCCACTCGCAAACGTGTTCGCATGCGCCTTCCTCTGCCACATGTTACACTACAGGGGCTCCACCTAGACCATTCTGTCAAGGGACAATTGGGCTTTCCTTCCTGTAACACAAAAATATTTCAGCTATACAGTGATTCCTCATCAACTGCAGGGATTACATTCTTCACAAACAACGTGAGCGGCAAAACCATGCCTGACAAGACCAAGGTCCTATTCGAGATATGATGGGAACCACAGTGGCTGTAGACATTCACGAGAATCTAAATTGCCTGTTACTTCACTAAATATAAAAAGTACAGTATATAATAATACAATTACAAACAAATTAAGACCAAATATAAAGAATTGCAAAAACAAAAAAAACAAATTGCAGTGTAAATCTGTGGTTAAGGGAACTGCAGACACTGTTAACATGAATTAAAGTCTCAATTGTCTGTTACTTCCTGAAACATAAAAAATATATAAAATATTTAAAAAATCAAGATAAAATATAAAAATTGTTACAAAAACATATAACTATGGAAATCAGGAAGCTAAAAGTCATATTTTAGATGTCATTTCTACTTTGTCACCAGCAAATGCACATCCTTTAGTGTAGAAGCCAGCAAATTTTTCTGCAGACTTGAAAGATTCTGATGATGGTGTATGCTGCACAGAATTATAAGGCGTATTTTGGACTTTATCCATCGTCTGGTAAAAATAAGCCAAAAAAACCATAATCCACAATCACTGGATTGAGACTAGCTCTTTCTAACGGGCCCAACTGAGTAGGTCTATCCTGCCCCATCCATCTGAGGACGGAGACAGATCCAGTCTCCAGAACATTGTGGTTTTTTGTCTTATATGTACCAGATGATGGATAAAGTCCAAAATAAGCCTTATAGTTCTGTACAAATCTTTTTGTGTTTACAGAAATAAAAACTATGGACATAGAAATCTAAACATCATGTTTGGAGAAACTGGAAACAAACTGAAAACTTCAATTGGCAAGGGACTGATGTGCTTACAAACTAGCCAGCGGCAAGTTCAGGGGATCTGCATGAAAAGAATGATACAGGAGTCCATAATCAAGTTAATGAGTATGCTGGCATTAACTGGAATTCAACTGAATCTAAATAAACTATGACATTACGCAGGACTTTAAAGCAGGAACACTACAAGAAATGTTGGTCACATTAAGGATAAACGATGTGGATATTAATGAGATTCCTGTGAGTGCTACAAAAATACATTAAACAACTACTGGGGAGATGAAGAGCGAACTGAAATGTTGGAATAAATACTGCACAAATGAGGGAGAGGCAAGAATTGGCACAGATGTGATAGGAGTGCTTAGGGAGGAAGGCTACATGATAGAACTACCCTCACAGGTAGNGGCTACCGCCGAAGACATTCCGAGTTATAAAGTAACAGCCAGCCGACTACAGTTGGAGTATAGCAGCCGTCGCGGTAAGAAGATCCGGACGTGTGTGCGATTGTGTAATTGGGAGCGCGTGATACAGTGATACATAGCTCCCCTACTGTCAACGTGTATACTACTGAAGACAGAGTGAACTGATTTGCGCATAGGGTTAGAAATCGTGAAACCCCGCAACAGTGTTAACAGATTAATGCGCTTAGGGTTATAAAGTGTGAAACCCCGCAACTGTGTGATAATTAATTGTAGCCGTTATTTGTAGATTGTTAAATAAACCAATTAACCATCTCTATGGCGTCTTCAGTAACGCAAGACACGTTACATTGGTGTCAGAAGTGGGATCAGTAACGAAAACACGTTACAATACATAGTAAAGGAAGAGTCTGAAACATACTAAAAGCAGAACATCGTTGCATGAAGCTGCAAAAGGGTATGAACTTAATCTGATTTACAGCAGTGAAAGAATGGAAGATGACACATTTGTGGAAAAAATATTAAAGTATATAGCTTAGAACAAGATTCATGAAGACATTAAGAGAATTGCAAAGATAAACTATGAATTCTGGAACAAGAATAATTTGTTATGACCTAAAGAGTGATGTTAATTATGATGTAATATTTATTTGCCATAATTTTATTAAAATAGGAGTAGATATATGGTCTCAGCAATAATTCATCACAGACACAAATCTATTATCATAAAAAGAAAATTACTGCTGCAATGATAATTACACTACAGAAATACACAGAATCTCAGGAGTTACCCACTGTAGGTTGAGGTGCAAGGGCCAAGAAGGCCTACCCCTCATACATTTATACACACTCTATATTGATATTTCAAAAATAGTGGTAATTTGCCTCTGATACATCAATATTTTTGCATTGATATGCAAGAGTTAGTACATTGGCTATACTGATATCCATAAGTAACTATGTCAGTTACATCAATATTTGTAAGTTGATGTCAACTATATTGATAGTCAGCTCAACATGATTCCCTGATTAACTGTGACATAGTAAAGTTATGACTGTAATAAACAAACACGAAAAACAATGACAAAGACAACATGAGACAATATGAAAAATGAGAATGGTTGAACACTTATGGATTCCATTGAGAATACAAATTATCACAAACATTATCCTCCATTTGGAAACATGCCAACTAACATAATTGTCTATAAACTCACTTGACTCTCTTCTTCAGAATCTCCACATATCTGACCTCCCACTCCATAACACTCATCATTTTGTTCAAGGCGTGGAGACTTAGGGTGAGGAGAACAGCGTTTGTATGCTTCACGCAGCTCATATTTACGTGTTCTTGTGCGCACACCTCTTCCACAGGTCACTGAGCAACTTGACCATGAACTCCATTTTGTCACTGTACAAATGGAGTCCAAAGGTGCAGCTGTCAGCTCATGATTTGCCTGGGAACTGAAACACAACAGAACAATAAAGTTTGTCCTTCCCTCCATGATCCTCAGTTCTGTTTAATTTATCTCAATACCACTGGAACACCTAATATTTAATAGAGCCACTGCTATATACAAACGGGTTTTTGCAATGGTTCTGTGCTAATAATGATGGCATCATGTATGTATATCTAGTATTGCCTGAATTTTGGGGAGTCGGGATATCTCATATATTATAGTGACAGACTACAGGCTGGATGACCCAGGTTATATTCCAGGCACTGCACGATTTTTCTCTTCTCAACAGCGTCAAAGACCAGCCCTGTGACCCACTCAGCCTCCTATCCAATGGATACCTGGGGCTCCTTCCCATGGGGTTAAGCAGCAGGTGCATGAAGCTGATCACTCACCCTCATCTAGTGCTGAGGTCAAGAATGGTGGAGCTATAACTCCACTTCCCCATATATGCTCATGGCATAGTGCTTAACTATTTAACAACAGGGACAACTTTACCTTTTTGCCTACATTTTGGAAATCCTTACTGATCTGTTTTATAAATCAGAGGACAGTCAACCAGTCAACAGAAGTGTTCTTAAGTATCAGTGGAGGCAACTTTGGCTTGAAGATGGGGGTAGTGTTTTGAATCATTGGGATATAGCATACATCTACACTGTGCCATTACCACAAAAAACATGGCCCTAATTAAACTCACTGCTGTCTGTGTGGCTCATGATAAGGTACACCTTGTAAATACCATCCAATCAAAACAAAAGAGTAGCCTAAAAGCATAAGAGGCAGATAAAACTAGTGACAACTAATTAATTCCACTAAGGTGAGCCCTTCTTGAGAAGCCACCAGTTGCTCAACTACTCTAGAATCTCCTAACATTTTCTCGAGCTCAAAAGTTCATTACCATGTTCTCAAGAGCCCTCCACTGGCCCCTATCCTCAGCCAGATCAATTCAGTCCATATAATCTCATCCTATCTCTCTAAGATACATCATAATATTATCCTCCCACTTACATCTAGGTCTTCCTAGTGGCCTCTTTCCTTCTGGATTTCCCACCAAAATCCTATACACATTACTCCTCTACCCCCATGTGTGGTGCAGGCCCTCTTCATCCCAAAGTTAAATATATTTCCATAAACTTTATACTACATTCGTCATGAAGAATAGAGTGTGTTATCTTACAGACCAATACTTCTGATTGTGACTACTATATGAAACAAAATTTCAGCTTCTGTCTTGTCACATCAGCCCTAATATGACTGCATTCCTTCTGTATAAGAGTTCCATCCAGGCAAATATTTGGATAGTACCTCAAAATAAGTGAACGGCCACTCTCTTCACATCTTATTCTAACCATCATCCACAGTCAATGAATAATTCATAGCTAAAATCACTGAAAAGGCATTGCTAAATAAATAAATAGTGTTAGTTACATGTTCATTTAAATACGGTTATGAGATCATGCTATATGCAAGATGATAAATATGGATGAGAAAATTGTACATGCTTACCTACATGTTTCCCGAGCACCTTGGCAGGGATACCTAGCTGTCAGTTTTACGTTACAAGATTTGATCTGGGCCTTTGTGCTGTCTATGTAAGATCTCTGCTTATATTTTACACCTTTGCCACAAGTTACAGAGCAGGCACTCCATGGACCCCACTCTGTCACTTCACAGTCTGCAGGAAAAACATTACTGAACTGTTTTGTAGACTTAATATTTTGCACCGATTATAACAATAACAGACAACAGAATTTAGTTTGATAATCAATCTCAGTTACATTACCATACTCTATAAAGATAATAAAATGTATTTCTAATTGAAAGGAATAATGCCCTCTCCCAAATAAAAAGCAAACTGGAAAAGAGGATAGCAAAGGTTTAAAACAAATTTTATTAACATTATATATTTATATATTTCCAAAATAAATATCTACAAAACTATCATGAAGCAGTACAAATACATGCCATATGAATAATAGGAGATACTTAAAAAAAAAGAATAAATTTTTGGAAAGAAGAAAAATATATAACTCCAGAAAAAAGAGAGAGAAACTGTGAACACACTGATATGTTGGGATTTTGGACTTTATCCATCGTCAGAATCCTATAGTAACTACTTAGAAACTGTGAAGTAGTGAAAAGAAAAATCTTAATCTCATTAAGACTCAAATCCTGTTTTTCCAGTCATCTAGCCCATAGCTTAGTAATTCTACAGACTGAGTCATACCAGCTCCCTCATCAAATTATGCCAGTCAACCTAGTAATTATGTGTAAGAAGCATTAAGAGAACGAGCGCTGAAATACCAATAATGATATACCTCCTGATACTGTATAATCATCCAGTCCAGAGTCATCATCAGATGCACCACCTGTATTGTCATCTGAACAACTCTTCTCATAGAGCCGCTGACGAGTGAGATACAGACGAGCCAGAGGTTTCATCTCAACACCAAAGAAGGGAGATCTGGGGTCATTGGGATAACTTGATGTAATCTTCTGAATAGGTTCACGTGGCTTAGTAGGCATATCTGGAGACTGAAAATAGCAACTGACTGTGAATGTGCCAAGGTTTGGAGCAAGGAATTATATCTTTGTTTCTAAACTAGTGTATGTCTCATGACTAAACTGGCTACATATTTCAACGACAAGCCAATCATTTAATTGAGATAAACTTAACCTCAATTTTCTCTTTTTCTTGTATTAATATCAAGGAAGATCCATTCTGAATAGGAGCACAAACACATTTTATATAATATTTGCATTATCATGACAAAGTTAAGTCTGAAATTGGTCAACATGAGACACATATATTGTGAAAATCTACTTATTAAATGATCAAGTGAAAACCATTTATATCACTAAAGCAAAATACTTTCCATTCAATGACATAATTAATGATCTGATAAGCTTTCTTCTTTTTCTCAAAATAAGGAAAGTAGGCTAAAAACTGATCTAAATACATTACTACATAAACACTGTTCCTTCTTCTAATTAAAAGTGATGTTTAGTGACTTAACACTCTTTTCCACTATATCATTGCAGCCTTTGACCAGCATACATATGTATATTAACTGCACTCACAAGGTAAGTGATGCCACTGTCTGTGCCAGCGTCATAGGGGTAGAGATTCAGAACTGTGTGGTCCACCCAGCTGCAGTTTCGCAGGCAGAGCTCCAAGCGGGACACTCCAACTATCCAGTCTGGCGATGGATCTGAGTAATGTAATTTGATTAGTGACAGAGTAAGTTATGTAAGGTACATTATGAATGTAATAGCGCAAACTGAAGACTTTATAGATCCCTGGACATATAAAACTTCACAAATATTATAATGTTTTGAGAATAATAGCTAACTTGCTAAATGACAGGATATTTTTTTAAAAACGTGATAGTTGCTCTGATGATCAAACCTTATCCTCCAAGATTTCGTGCTACATGCCCTGTCATTCACCCTCCTTGTCATGATCATTCTAATTATTCTTGGAGACGAGTACAAGCTGTGAAACTCCTCATTACGCAGTTTTTTCTGACCTCTGTCACTTCATCTCTCTTAGGTCTAAATATTCTCAACACCCTCAGTCTATGTTCCTCCCTTAATGTCAGAGACCAAATTTCACACCCATAGAGAACCACAGGCAAAATTATAGTTTTGTATATATTATAAACACAACAAAATAAACAGTCTCTCCCATTTCATATATAAACGAATTTTATTTACTCTATGAACAAAGAAAAATTGTAGAAAAATTTTTCAAGGCTTTTTATGCCCTTTCGACCTGGGTTATGCAATGTATGAAATATATTTCACATATTTTCCCATAGAGCTTCAAGAATTCGCTGCACAGAACCTCAGATTTATGTTTCTAGATAGCGCACTAGAAAACAAATATTGTAAACAAGCTTCCCACAGTTTCAATCTGCTCTTTAATTTGAACAGTGTTAGGTCAGATATATTTACCTATCTTTGACACAATTGACATGAGATGGTGCTTCCTGTCCACACGGAATACTGCAAATGTTTTGCCAGTCACGTTTGGATGTCCAATACCTCGTGCTTTTATTATTGTGCGGATATGCTCACTCTAGAAAAAGATAAATTTTACATGTCACTCAATGTCACTGACATGTTTTCAGTATTTACTGTAATTGCCAGTTTGACATATTCATCACCATTCAGTCATTTCTCAATACTGCAGCTAATAAAGCAAAGTTACTCTTGTGTCTAAGCACAAAATCACAACTATGTATAGGGACAGTGGAGATAAAGCTCCCTGGTTTCAATTTACAGCCCAGAGACCACAAAACCTGAATAAAATGTTGTCATTTTTTTAACCCCTCCAGGAAAATGCTGGGATAATATTTCAAATTAGGCCAAAATTGCTTCCAACCACAACCTTTCCTATTTATCATTAAGTAATCATACTACCATTCCATGTTCTGTGACCTTAACTACTGCAGGAATCATTAAATTAGCCATCAATAAATTAAACATAAATTTACTACGTTGCTATTTTCTCAACTCACCTGATCTTTTAACTCACTTTCAAGCATACGTGTGGCTCCCCTTTCTGCTACTTGATGCAAACCTTCTGAAGCAAAGCCACCATAATCCCAGAACTGATACTCAGCAGAATGGGAAGCTCCAATGACATCACTAAATTTGGTCAGAAACCCATTGATTGGGAAGTCTTTGGGATGGGTGTGCCTTGACCACAGGCCTTCAAATGTTACCTGAGTGTAATCAACATTACGGTAATTTATATGGTTAAATGAGGTCTTCCTATTAACCTAAATAAGAGAGATAATCTATATATGTGGAGAAAAATGTTGGAGATTTAAACAGTGAAGGAGGGTTTATTAATATCATCAGAACTAACCTTTTACTTCTCCAGCAACTTACATCTGTGCCCTGAGATAGTCATGTTAAATAATGATGTACAGAACCTAGTCAAGAAGCAGATAGACAGTCTTCAGGTTTAGCAAGCAGATACCAACTAAAGTGGGATGGCGGTTCAATTTTACTTTGCCACCCAGCACACCAAAGGGGAAGTGTGCTGCAGTGACTGACTGAGATATACGCACTGGTGACTCGTGGTCATTCCTTATGTCAGTCCTGACAGAGGAGACAGAATATGTTTCTGAAACACTGGTTTTAAACTCAACTTCGTTGTTGCCGGTTGCCCACATTTCTTTTTGGTGAAACCTTCACATTTTACGTGTTATTTTCAGGGCTAGATTTAATCTTGTGGAGGCATTGAGGCAATCAATATGCGAACGCTCGATTTAGGTTAGAACAATTTATTTCTTCTTATTTCTTACAATAACTAAAAATGGGAACTAAATTTCATGAGCTTAAATAAGCAAATGTCTCAATAAAATTTGTGAATTCTATTTATGATTTGCTGAGGTCCCAGGTTGAAACACTGGTCACCCCTCCTTAAATCTGGCCCTGCACTTTGCTACTTCACTGAGTTACTGACTGCCCTCACTGTTCTGCTGTAAGAAACACGGACAACACGTGAACCATACTTACTGGTTCTATCCCAGTTGATGGCCATAAAGAGGTCTGAATTTAGTCAATAACTGCTCAACATGTGTTTACATTTAATCCATAGTTACTGTGAATGAAGTATAGTACAAATTGCTTGTATAAAGAACTTCATATGGCAAAGAACAGAAAAACTGTTACTGATACTTGAAGCTTTCACATCAGTGAACATTTCAAATATGATGTACTAAGTTATGGCACCAAATAGTCTGGTATGTTGTCACTGAAGTTTTGGAGGAACCTGCTGCCTTCACTGTTGTGGTAAAAGTCTTTCTCACAGAAGATGACAGCATCACGTTTCACTGAAATATTGGTAACCATGTACAAGACTACATGATGTCATGACCCAGAAGACCACAATCTAAAGCTATTACTATCATTTCAACATGGAAAATACAAAGATGAGAGTAATTTTCTGAAGGTTTATGACAGTTGTTGATTTAGAACACCATAATCTCAGGTGAATATCATTCCCTGTCTGATGTTTATTTACTGCACATGGCATTCTGGAAATTGGCTGTTTCCCATATTCAGATAATTAGCTATAATTGTAACAAAATTTGTTTCTTTATTTGACATTAACAGTAGTGCTTCAGATTGAACACAGGATCGCCTGATACAAATCATGTATGCTAACCTCTGGATGGATGGGTTCAATTCCAACTGCTAACACTAATATTAAAAGCTGAAAAAAAGGGATAAATCTATTACCTCATATTTCGCTTCTTCACAGGCACAGCAAGGATTCACAATATCTGGTTGATTATCATCATTTTCCCGAACATCCTCGCAAAGCAAATGACTTAATGGTCCATCATCCATGTACCAAAAATCACGATTTTCCACAACAGTAGCCCTGTTTAGGAAGAAAAGATAAATATGTTTGTATATTTACATGAGTATTCTGTAATAGGGATTATTCTTATAACTTTTGTGGGGCACAAAACATATTCTGTGTGTAACACAGTGTTTCTCACTAAGCCACATGGTAGCAGCATATTAACACCTAATTCAATATTTTATAGCCAACCAGACTATGCAGTCTTGTAAGATTATATAGGCCATGCCATAGCTCAAGTGGTTAGTTGCTGGCTTCCCACCTCCGATCCTGGGTCTGGTCAAGTTGGATTTGTGGTGGACAAAGTAGCTCAGGGGCAGGTTTCCTCAGAGTACTTCGGTTTCCTCTGCCAATCTTCATTCTACCAATTGCTCCACAATCACCCTCACCTATCATCTGGGGCTGGTACAATAGGCCAGAAGTAGCCGCAGTACAAGGGACTTAGTCCCACTCCACTAGCAATAAAAATCAAAAGGGGAAGCACAATAGACCACTGTAGGTCGCGGTGCAAGGGCCAAGGAGGCCTACCCCTCATATATTCATTCATTCATTCATTCTGTGAACAATAACATCATCCCTAACCACAAGATGGTACCTACCTAAAGACAACACAGCCGCTGCCCCTGGGAGGAGCTGTCCACAGAACCTGTATGTCAGACTTGGGCATGGAAGATGTCTGGATGACAGCGTTGGGACACCGGTCACTGAATCTGGTGGAGGCATCACCGAACAAGGAAAAAACACCAACATTCCGGGTGCTGTAGTCATTTGGTGGGACTGCTATACTTCTTAGAGGGTCATCTACCCAGGATGCAAGATACTCATTGCTGGGTTCCACCACAAGCATAAAACCTGTGAACTTCTGGGGAGTCTTTTGGATGCGTTCACCTTTCAGACTGACTGCAAAGAAAAGAAGTTAATTTTTCACTCATATGTAAGCTTAAGCTGTATTCAGAAATTAACTGAGAAAATGATTGCTTTGTTATTTAAATCTGTTCCATAATGTTGTTTAGGAAAGTAGTTGTATTTTATTCTGAGAAACTTAAAGAAACTCACAAACCACTCTGGCCAAAATGCTGAGTCTTCTTAGTGTTAATGCAGGTGGAGCATATAGTACACACTCTGCTTAAAGGGGTTAATTGACTTTCATTTCTCTCTGGATAAGATAGAAACTTGTTTACTTCAAGAACCTGTTATGTAATGCAACTAACCATGTCAAGAAACCAAGTCATTGGCCTGACAGCAGGATCACTGATGTGCAAGTGGTTTTGTCATTATTTGCATTTTGTCTCTTGACTGACGTTCCTGAGACATGACATAGTCGAAATAAGATATTGTATGAAAACAGGTGGCAAGCTGATATTCCTCAACCCTGAAGATGGAGGCGACATAATCCTCCTAAAAGTCGGTTGACTTTCAAAATTAAGCGTGTTTACACGTGCGATTTTTCCCGACACTAAATTTGCTTCAAGATCGGGCAAAAATTATATTTTTCAAGAGAAAATTAACTATTCTTCTGTCCCAAATATGGGACTGGGAGAATCCCACAGCCAACTGGATACAGTAGGCCTCATCATTGTCATCATCTGCAAGTGTTGATCTTGTTAGTCCATTCTGTCCTCAATATCAAGCCATCTTCTTCTTGGTCTTTATGGATTATGTCTTCCCATCAGCTGATAATATAAAATTTGCTTAGGAGCTCTTTCTGATGGCATTCTCTACAGATGTTCTATTTAATTGCCCTTCCTTCCATGTGTTTTCAGTAGGGACTTAGAAAAATATATATATAGTTACTCCTGCTGGCAGTCACACCCCGACTGTCGCTCTATCCATTAAATACCAGTACACCAATTTGATGGAAGGGGGTGGCAGGCCTAGAGCAGGTATCGACATGGTGCAAAGATGAAAAGCTAAAGTCCTCCTTCTGTTGGAAATTTAACGCAGTTCTTTCAGCAAACAGAGAATGCGGTATCTCCACTATATCAAATTGGACTGACCCCAGGGCAGATACAGATTTACAGACACAGAAGGAAGCTTCTGACTCTGCTGGGAATCGAAACAAGGTCTTTCAGACTGAGACCATGGTATTCACTGGCCAGGAGACAGAGTGCGTCCACACAGCTGGTCTGAAGTGGTGTCATGAAGAAAAATAATTCCCTTTCACTTCCAAAATTCGACCCTCAGTCGCCAAGTCCACAACTGGACACTTTTCTAAGCTTAACTTGGGTGATGTTTTCATTATATGTAGTAGGATCAGCACATTGTATTGACAGAAGGATGGCTTTCTGCCAGAGAATTTGCTTACAGTGAGATGAGGGAAAATGTCCATGAAGTTGGACAGGCGTCCTGACTAATGGGTGAAATTTCCTGGAGAGAAATTCAGTCTGCTTTCTCCCTTTTATGTCTCTCGCCGTATCTCTGTCTGACAGTTCCGAAACCTAGGAGATGAAAAATTACACAGACAGCCTGTCAACTAGACTAAGAGGCAAAAAGCGTTTACAACATTAGTTAAAATGTACACTTCTGATTAAAACCAGTGAATTGTAGTTTGTTCTAGAGGTGCCAATTTCTGATTCCTCAAAGATCATTCACAAAGAAAAGTCGTTTGAAGTATGAGTACGACAACACAGAGAGGGAAAACCCTCTTAACCCGTTGAGGTTTGAAGGTAAAGTCGCTGTGCTTGATTATGCACCATGGCATGGAGAGAGACGAGGAAACGGATCTCCACGCATTCTTAGCCTAGGCACTAGATAAAGATGAGTTCTCAGATTCAAGCGCCGGCCGCTTTACCCCCGGGAAGGAGCCCTCGGTACCCAATGAATAGGGGCCTGGGTAGGCCTCAGAGCCGCTCTGGACCCTGGGGAGAAGAGATCTCTTGCTCCACCTTCAATCTACCTCTATTTTCGGTCGACCGGTCCATACCCTCCTCGTTACATCAACTGGGCCATCTCGACTCCCACAGTGCAGATATAAGAAACAAGAAGCTCTGGGAAGAACTATTTTCCTTGAATACGATACGGGCCGCATTGAACACGACGCGTCCAAGGATTCTTCTAATGTTTCGTGTGTATTCGTTTCCGCTGTAACTTTCTTACCGAGTCGTTGCCTAGCAACGTTAGGGGTGTACACATTCAGACACACGGACGGATGTGAAGGGTTTGTGAAGTATGTCGTTGAGATGGGATCAAGTGCCGTGATATACAAAGTTTCATAAAGACTGGTTTAGGCATTCATAACCTGATGTGTTGGGATAAACAGAGACACAGACAGCATGGTGATCGCATAAGCATATTTTCGATTTCAAAATACGAAAAGTAGGGAAAAAATGGAAAATAAATTACTCCATGGAACAGAAATTTTCTGAGAAGCGGACAGTAGCCCAGCTATTCAATAAATTACTAACATTTTCTTAAAACTATAAGTTCAGTGCCGTATTTACAAGAGCACGCCACTAGACCCTATCCTGAGCCAGATGATTCCAGTTGACTACATATTTTATATTTCTTAAATATAAATTTTAATAATATCCTCCATTTATGCCTAGGTCTCCTAAGCGATCTCTTCCCGTCAGTTTTTCCAACTAAATTGTCGTATGCATCTCCCCTCACTATGTGTGCTCCATACCTCAACCATAATATATGGTAACATCCTCATCCTTTCAAGATGAGGGCTTCTAAACTCCCGCCGAAACCTCAGACTGTATAATTATTTCTTACAGGTCCATACACTTACGAGTCAGGCTAGGCGAGGAACCGGGCTCGGATTAATTTCACCACACACGTATGAGCGCGGCGACCCACACACGGACGAGTTTGGCTCACTGGAACCCGAGCCGAGTCGGACTCGCGAGCCAGACTCGTACGTGTATGGGCCCCCGCGACTGCTTATGCAGTACATAGACAGCTACCCTAATTTTCTGGAGGTTGCCCTCTTCATCCGCAAACAAAACACGCGTCATGCTCTGCGACAAGGGACCAACTTAACACGGAGAAGTGTAAGCAACAGCTGCTCAGCTAAGACAGCTACAGCACAGGCAGGGCCGGAAACAGGGCTGGAAATGGGCGTCAAAGAGGGCGGACGTGCACTGCTTAAGGAGACCTTTTCTTCTAATGAAGCTATTTCCAGCGCCAGAAAACGTAATTACTATCGTTTCCAAAAATGACGCTTGTTAGAACAAATTCCAGAATTTCAGCGAAGTAATTGTCTTCTTATTAAGTGGTGGCCAGTCTCTTGGGATTTTGTACTGATCTGGAGTCTACCCAGTTCTGAACTGGAGCATCTATCTATACGTAGAAGTGAACTGAAGCGTCTACCCACTTCTCAGTTGGAGTGTCTACTTAGTTCTGAACTGGAGCATCTGCCCAGTTCTCAGTTGGAGTGTCTACTTAGTTCTGAACTGGAGAATCTACCCAGTTCTCAGTTGGAGTGTCTACTTAGTTCTGAACTGGAGCATCTGCCCAGTTGTCAGTTGGAGTGTCTACTTAGTACTGAACTGGAGAATCTACCCAGTTCTCAGTTGGAGTGTCTATTTAGTTTTGAAATGGAGCATCTGCCTAGGTCTGAAGTAGAGTATCTACCCAGCTCTGAACTTGAGCATCTACCTAGAACTGAACTGAAGCGTCTACCCCGTTCTAAACTGAAGCATCTACCTACTTCTGAACTTGAGCGTCTACCTGCTTCTGAACTGGAGCGTCTACCCACTTCTCAGCTGGAGAGTCTACTTAGTTCTGAAGTAGAGTATCTACCCAGCTCTGAACTGGAGCGTCTATCTAGAACTGAACTGAAGCGTCTGCAAAAGTTAGCCATGAATTAAATACGGTATGGGTGCAGCGAGGCGCAGCGATGGTCAAATGCCATATTTCTAACAGGAAAACTGTCCAGTCAGCGCTGGAATTTGAGAAGTCAGTCTGCCTAGTCATTTCAATTTTGTAACGAATGCGATACGCTACGGAATTTGTTACCGTAAAAGCAACTTTTGACGCGGAATTTTATTTACTTGAATAGGATTTGAGGTTCCACACCGGTGGTCACGAGGATTACTATCTTCTGGGTTATAACGCCTTATAGTCCGTTGAAAGTCAACAGACGTTTGGGAAAAACATATCGCCTCCATCTACAAGGTGGAAGAATTAGCCGCGAAAGAAACCAGAGGCAGAGCCGGTAGCAAGAAGGGTACAAACAAACTCCGTGGTCTGTAGTCCGCAAGCGAACTATACTGACCGAGCTACCACCGCTTGTCGGCGTAATTAGTGCCAAATTTTGCTGATAGAGGGTGTCACGTGATCACCGCAAAGAAACCTCACGGCCGTTAATTTCGGTTTTCTAGACCGGAGCCGATATTTCCTTGAAATAGCTCCTCAATTATCCTCACGAGGCTGAGTGGACCCCGTTACAGACCCACTACTACTCAGAAAATCTGGTAGTACCGGGAATCGGACCCGGATCCTCTGGGTCTGTAGCCAGGAACTCTGATCACTAGACCACAAAAGGGATCCAGAATACAGTACTCTTTCTTTATTTGTGATTTATTTAACTCTGCTGTAAGTAACTCAAATTATAGCGCCAAGTACTGAGATGATCAGTGAATAATGCATTAAAAAGAATTCCGAAGTGATAGGTCATGGTCTAATTAGATATCTCATCCTGAAATTTGTCTGGAAAAACTGAAAAGGCTAAGACAAATCTCAGTCAATATGGCAAGGGTAAGAAAGCGTAAAGTTGTCCTGTCCCTGTGCTTAACTAATTAAGCACTATGCCATAAAGGTGTATGGGGTAGTGGATGTATGGATCCACATTTTCTTGATCTCGGCACCAGGTGGAGGTGAGTGGTCAGCTTCACGCCCCGGCCGCTTCACCCTTGGGGAAATAGCACCGGTACTCATTGGATAGGAGGTTGTGT